TATCACACATAACATATCATACCTCATGGGCTCTCCTCTCAACATTTCACCGTGAACACACTTAACTGTATGAGACAGGTAAGGAAGCTGAGGCGGGCTACCCCACTGGCCGTCTCAACAAGAACGCTCCCCTTTGTGACCCTCTCTCCCCTCCCAGGGCCCCCTGTCAGCCAGCTTCCTTGGCCTGTCCTGTGCTCCCTAGTGGCTGGGGTGCTCGTCCTGGCCCTTGGGGCTCTCCTTGTCCTTCAGCTCATCCGGCGGCGGCGGCGAAGGCGAGAACACGGAGCCCTGTGGCTGCCCCCCGGTTTCATTCGAAAGCCTCGGACACAGCAGGGACCCCATCGGCGGAGGCCCCCACTAGGGGAGGACAGCATAGGTCTCCAGTGAGACTGGGGAGGGCCTGGGTCGGGGGAGGGAGTGTGAGCGTGCTAAGGAATACTCCTGCAGACATGGGGCTTCTGGCCATGTTGGAGCTCAGGACTGGCCCAGCCTATAGAACCCCCTCCTGCTCACCCCGTTCAGGGCGCTGAAGCCAGAGGCACAAGTGGAGGAGGACGCGGTGGCCATGTGCTCGGGCCCCGAGGACGGAGAGGAGGTGGGTCAGGTGCAAAGGCGGGTGGGAGGGGTACAGAGGTGCCAGTGGTGGCAAACTCAGCCGCCGCCCCTGTTCTTCCTCTTGTCCCAAGGCTGAAGAAACCGCCTCGGCCTCCAAGTGCCAGCTCTGGCCACTGAACAGCGGCTGTGGAGAGCTCCCACAGGTAGCCGCCATGCTGACCCCTCCTCAAGAGTGTGAAATGGAGGCTCTGGATGTGGACACTTGTGGACCTGGTACACAAACAACCTAGATTCAAAAAAAAAAAAAAATCCTATTTTTGACCCTTTTAGAAGCAAAGCCCATGAACAGGGGCTCTCACAGTGGGACCTGAGACAACAGCACCATCTGGGACTCTGCCAGGAATACAAGCTCAAACTCAGCAAGTGGGGTGTGGGGCAATCTAACCAGCCCTCTCCATGAGTGTGACTCAGGTTCAAGTCAGAACCTTTGAGAATTAAATCCTTCCTGCTCCTGCTCCTAAGGAAACACTAAATCAAGGCCTAGTGGCGCACACCTTTAATCCCAGCACCTGGGCAGCAGAGGCAGGCGGATTTCTGTGTGTTCAAGACCACCCTGCTTTATTGAGTTCCAGGCCAGTCAGGGCTGCATAGTGAGACCCTGTCTCAACCCCCCCCCACACACACACACACCGCCCCGGGCCCCGCCCCCGCAGAGTCAGAGCTTGTCTTCTGGGGACAATTCTCCCAGAAGTCGTTATCATTCTTGTCTTCTTTCTATTGGCCTTGTATTCACTCTCACCCACAGATGGGGTGACACCCCTGATGTCGGCAGTCCTCTGTGGGAGAGTGGAGTCCACCATCGTCCAGGGACCGTGGCTGGGAAATCCCGAACCCTGTGAACCACTGCTGGATAGAGGGGTCTGCCCCCAGGCTCACACTGTGGGCACTGGAGAGACACCCCTGCACCTGGCTGCCCGGTTCTCCCGGCCAACTGCTGCCCGCCGCCTCCTTGAGGCTGGAGCCAACCCCAACCAGCCTGACCGGGCAGGGCGCACCCCACTTCACACTGCAGTGGCTGCCGATGCTCGGGAAGTCTGCCAGGTCAGCACACACCAGGGTCCCTACAGGAAGTAAGAGTAAACTTGCAAGTAAAATGGAGAGGTCTTCTCTAGGGTTTGACAAAAGAGAAACTGAGACCCAAGACCTGAAAGGGGAAGGTGGCAGGCAGTGACTGGAGAGGGGTTGAAGAGTTGGCATTTAATCCCAGCACTGGGGAGGCAGAGGCAGGCAGATCTGAGTCCCAGGCCAGCCTGGGCTGCACAGTGAGAGCAAAACCAAAACAGACAACATCAGCACGAGGGGCCTGACCTACAAGTCCAGGGCTCCCGGGGGTCACACAGGCCCTGTCTGTGTCCCCAGCTCCTACTGGCCAGCAGACGGACTGCTGTGAACGCACGCACGCAGGACGGGACTACACCTCTCATGCTGGCTGCCAGGCTGGCAGTGGAGGACCTGGTGGAAGAACTGATCGCAGCCCGAGCGGATGTGGGAGCCAGAGATAAGAGGGGTATGGCTGGAGCCCGGTGTGCTATCGAAATGTGGGCAGAGCGGGGGCGCAGCAGGGACAGACTAGAGGCTACCCCTCCCGCGCTGAGGTGTGGAGAGCCGGTTTCCCCGTCAACTACAGCATCTTGCCTCGGCCCACGAAACGGGATGGGGGGGGCGGTACCTGGGT